CTCTGTCCGAAGGTTCGTTTCCGATATTTTGGAAATGGTCAGTGGTAAGGCCGATTCCGATATGTGGAAACTCCAGCAAGGTAGACAATTACAAGCCGATTTGTTTGACACTTATTTTGGTCTAAGTTGCCGAAAAGATTGTGTAGGATAGTTTGCTACAGCTGTTCCTGACACGGCACGGTTTCATGCGAGATCGCTGCTGCATAACCAACCTGCTCGTGATAAGGTATGAGTGGTTGCAAACAGGGTAGCCACTTGCGGTACTGCTGCCTAATGCTGGGGTGCCCACCTACGGTACTGCTGTCTGCGGCCCGTTATACCTGGTCCCAGTCTAACTGTGAAAACAGTAGCCAGTCTCTGGTAAACGGCGTGTATTCTATGGAACAGAATGGTTCTATTTATAGGTTACTGAACTTCTAATTAAAGAAGCCTCGTCGTCAGCATCCTGGCCTCAACCAATGTGAACACATTTTGGTTACCATATTTGGCTATTTGTTCGTGCCGAAGTACGGCTCACGTACATTCAGTCGATGCCCACTCTCATCAGCCTTTCACATCGCACCTGTGTTCCATCTTTGGCACGACCTCGTTCACATGATCGGCGCTCACACGGCCGACGCCCACACGACCTTGCCAGCCACCCATGACGCACTGGCGTTCCCTTGTTGGCTGTCTGATCACATGTTTGGCATCGCGCCAGACCAAACTGTCTGCCCGACTTAGTGCAGTAACGTCCGCTTGGTTGCTTAATACTTCCCTCTTTGAAGTGATTGCGACGGCGTCTTTTACGCACTGGGTTTTGTTCATAACTTGTTGACTTAGCGTCCATCTGTAGCCATCTTGGACTTGTCCGTGTTCGGGTTGGCTTGGATGGTAAGTCTTGTTCGGCCTGTTCATTTGGTTGTGTTCCAATTGAGCCATCATTTCTATTTTCCGGACCAACTATATCTAGCAGTATTTCCCACTACAGTATTGCCGGTTCCTGCTGTCGCTGAATCTTACTGTGGTGTGGTCACATGCGATTCACGTGCCTGATCCACCTTTTATTACCAACCATAATCTCGTAGATAACTTTACCTTTCTTGTCGATGACCGTTCCACTTGACCTGGCTTTCAGAGTTAGGAAGTTTTGTGCGTAGATCGAGTCCCCAATCTTGAACGTACGTAACCTGCTTGCCTGCTCTGTTCTCGTTTTCCCATTGCATTTGTACTCATTTTGGGAGATAAGGCGGTCAAAGATCGTTCGGATTTTCCGTCCAAACAAAACTTCGGCAGGGAATTTTCCATCTGGGGTGTTTGGGTTTAGCGTACGTCCATACATGCATGAGAAAGACTGGTTGACGTCCTGCAGGACCTTGGTTTGTCTCGCTTTGCAGGAAGCACGTTTGAACGTGTCCACGAACCGTTCTGCCTGCCCGTTTGACTGTGGATAATATGGTGGCGCGAACATCTGCCGAATTCCTTTCTCCTGGCACCACTCACGGAAAGAAGTTAAAGAGAATTGTGCTCCATTGTCTGTCACTGTTATCTTCGGCAGGCCTAAATATTGAACCAGCTTGTTCAGTTCATTCATCGTGTGCTGGGTGGTTAGATTTTGCATCAGGATCACATCGGTCCACAAAAACGAGATAGGATTGACCGGCGATTGGTCCTGCATAATCTAAGTGGTTTCGCTGCAATGGCTTCTCTGCTTTTGGCCAAGGTTACCACGGGCACCTTGGAGGGGCCTTATCCGCAGGTTGACGGGATTCACACTTTTGGCAAAACTGTTCAGTTCCGATATCCATTCCTGGCCAATAAACAAACCTGCGTGCCACTGCTTTCATACGGTTAGTACCGGGATGCCCGGTATGAAACTACTGTAGGACTTGCCTGTTCAATTTTTTTGATACCACCACTCACTTCCCAAACATCAAACAATGGTCTACAACGGACAGAGACCTACGTCGATTGAAGAAAGGTCGCAAATCCGCAGATATACCACCGTTTGGCCAAGGTGTTTACACGTATTGTATCACTTTTTGTAGGGTTTCGTTTCGGGAAGTCTCCACGCGAATGGTGTCAACTGTCACTGGTAATCTTCTAACATCATCCGTGAGGATTCCTTGGACTTCTGACTCGAATTTGATAGCTGCAGTCACTCAGTCATCGTTCTCCTTTGGGTGCGAACTAATAAAACGAGACAGGGCATCCGCTTTCCGATTTGTTGCGTGGGTCCATATTGTACACTGAAATCGTACGGTCGCCCATCTTTGTAACCGACTTGCGGCGAAATCGAGAATCACTTTCTTTGAGCCGAATACCGACAGCAATGGCTTATGATCAGTCAGGAGCGTTTAATACCTATCATAGAACATCTTGTGGAACCGCTTCATGGCGAAAACGATCGCCATCGTTAGTGATCGTGCTGCATGCGCAATGGCCTTCTCTCCTCTGTTCGGGAGAATGTGGAAATAACGGCTCTGATACCATAATTTGAAGCGTCCGATGCAACGACGATTTCTAAATTCGGATTGAAATGAGTTAAGAGTATATCATTAGTGAGCGCTGTTTTTACTGTGTCAAACGACTGCTGGCATTCCTTCCTCCATTGCCAAACACTTTCGTCAGCAACTAGTTTAGGTAGCCTCTGGTTTGATGAAGGCTTGGTAGAAAAGCACGGTAATGACTCACGAGGCCGAGGAAAGAGCGGAGCTCTGCGACGTCTTTCGGGAACTCCGACTGTTTGATTGCCTGGATCTTGGTGGGATCCGGGCGCCGACCATGTTGGTCTATGATGAACCCCCGGAATTTGACACTAGCTAACATGAACTCACATTTTTCAGCCCGTAATCGAAAGCCAGCTTCTTCGAAACGCGCAAGCACTCTCTCCAGTATCTGCATCAAGTTTTGCGGGTCTGCGCCCATAATCAAAGCATCGTCCAGATAAATTGCGGTATTGGGAATATCGTTCAGCAGAGTATCCATGATTTGGCTTTGCTTTCTACCAGCTACTGCTACTTCACTGCTATCAATCCTGCACTGAAGATGCCACCTCGAATGGTGGCGAAACGTCTGCAACCAACTTGCCCAGCTCGGAGAACTCCACAACAACTGAGTATCCATGATTTGTTGGAAAATTGCCGATACATTTTGCACTCCAAATTGCAACTGATTATACCGGAAAAGTCCGAGGTGCCTATTAACCGTTAGCAATGTTCTGCATTCCTCGGCAACTGGAACTTGCACTTAGGCGTCAGCTAGGTCAAGTTTTGCGAAGCATTTGCCACCGTTGAGTCCTGTGAACAAGTCCTCTGGTACAGGCAATGGGCGCTGATGCATCTCCAATGCATCATTTAGGCCTGTTTAAAGATCAACAGATACGAATCTTACCGTTCCCTTTCCTTACTACTACAATAGATGCCGCCCACTCTAAATAGTGAACCCGTTCCATTATACCTTCAAATTGCAATCAATTTAGCTCGGGTTTCCCTAACGATTGAGTTGCGTTCGGCACCGGGCGTTTTGTTCTGAAGACTGACTTGACGTCTGATTTGAGGTACAGCTGCGCACTGGCTACTCGGCAGCATCCAGGACCGGGTTTGTACAATGTCCATCGTTCCCTGACATTGATTGGTCACTTGCAGCGTAAATTCTGGGTTTTGCTCGATTCTGCTCAGAATCCTTGTTCTGACATCGGCGTCTTTGATCGCTTGCAGACTACAAACATAGATGAAACGTTTGTATTGCTCGCGCTTCACCATGCATCATGCTCCTCCATCATCAGACCAATGCTAAAGTACGGCTTGCCCGTCTATTGCCCGAACACTGCAGGCGAAGTGCAGTTGATTGAACGGGTCCAACACGTCACTTCCAGGCTCATCTCTAATTTGCGGAGTATACCATACGAAGACGTGTGAAAGACGGACTGTACACTACCCTATCGTCGGTCGAGACGACCTCATCATGACTGACCGCATTCTACATCTAGGCGACTTCACCATGCTGAGGCCACTGCTCCACTTGCGAACTCATTGCGGCAAATACGGACACCAGCACAAGCTTGAGGTTCCAGATCGAAAGCGAGTTTGCCATCCCCTATACTTCGAGCGGCGAGTAGTAACTTTTTTGAGTAGTTTACGGATCCTATCGTGGAAGCGAACTTTATGCAACAATTTAAAGGATTGTTTGACGTGCATTTCTCAAATGTTTGATTTCTATAACGAATACACACTGACATCTCAAATTTTCGATTCTTAATTGACAGTGAAATACACGTTTTTACGATATCATATGAGAACGTGAAGATCGATTAGGGTATTACCAAGTTTTGATCCCATTTCTATGAGGTGTACAGATTCAATTTTCTACTTGCTCCCAAAATACAGTTTTCAGTATTCTGAGAGTCGCAAGATGATCCACTTCAGTTTGGCGATCCTATCGAACACTGCACAATCAGGCACTCAGTGGTGTCCCTGTTTTCCATTTGTTGCATTTACTGTTGATTCTTTTTCCAGATTTCTTTCACTCACCTTTCTCTTAACGTCTTTTTCTTTGTATTCCATCCCGCTTTTCTCTCCCCGCCACGTTGGCGACATGATTCGTCGTTCCTGAAACCACCATATTGATAATACTTGCTTTAACGAACTGCATAGATTTTCAAGTGTAATGCGATTGAAAGATCACGTGCCTTTCTTCCACCAGTCTTCTCCATCCTCTGCTATAACAATTTTTGGCTTGCTCTTTTTACTACAATCTGGGCTTACCTCCATGTACTTTCGATTTCCACTGCCCATATGATCCAGCCATTTTCCCTCTGATTTAAGTCACATGGTTTATCAGTCATTGACCGAGCTTTCGTCAAACGGTTTCACTTAGGGCATTGACACCGAGACGCTCTAGTCCTAATGGTGTTCGGCTACTTAGCAATCTGTTCTTTGTTTGCGTTTGTTTTATCTTGCTTTATTTTTCTGTTCTTTGATCCTTTCATAACGGACTAATTTCTGTTTCTGCCTCATCAGATATTTTTACGTCAATGGGCTGAATTCCTTGATTGTTCCATTTTCTCCGTGGACTACTCACTGGCACCCGAGTCACCCTACCCTCAGGCTTTAGACGAGTGCCTGTTCGCCTACTGTTGGGTCGTGCTGAATCGTGACAAGTTGGGTGCGACCCCCGATGCTCGGATCATTTTGTGTGGCGATTCGGCCGGTGGGAATCTGGTTCTTGGACTCTGCCTTCGGATCGCTCACCTTGGCTTAGTGCCCAAGCCTTCGGGAGCTTTGATATGCTACGCCCCGATTCTAGTTTCTATGGCACCGTCACCATCCAGAATGTTATCTATTTCTGATCCCTTGCTTCCGGTAGGGATCCTGTCCAAATGTTTATTGGGTGAGATGCTGAATTTTCTCATGGATAGTTTCGCTTTTTCACAACCTTATCTCTCGTTTCATTTTGCCATGTCGGCGACTATACCATCAGCCGGTCACGCATGGGAAGTGGACCAGTGTCGATCAGCCGATACCACTCAAGCGTCAGTTGCTTGGTTCCCCCCCCCCCCACAGCCTGTGGTATTGGTGTTGATGGTTATGATCCTGCCTTGCATTTGGTAGGTGTTGCTCATTTGCCGCCATAATCCGGTAAGGACACTGTTTGTCAGTGAACGTTTCGTCATCTAGCAATATGGCGGTTTCATCCCAACCAGTATGCCATTGCCTAAAATTGACCCGATAGCTTAGCCCCCGTGTATGTTCACATGTGATTCGCGGGGTCACCTTGAGGACACACCATCTGGTGTGTGAAGAACTCACAAGCCAAGGATAATGCTTGGCTGTTCGTGTAGTCGGGTATGGGCTTTTCCTCACCGAGGTCGTTATATGTGCGTAATTTTCGGGTTGACCTTTTTTTAGATCTATCTGTTATTGGCTATAGAATTGAAGGCTGGTAGCTCAGGTTGTTCAGATGGCTGTTGAACTGTTCGCTGAGCTTGGCAATTTTGTTGCAAACGTTTCGTCACCAATCGAGGTGACATCATCAGTGCGTGGTGGAGTGGCGTGCAATAGCGTAGAGTAGCGGAGCGGAGCACTCTCACCGAGGCTCCGCTACGCTACTCTACGCTATTGCACGCCACTCCACCACGCACTGATGATGTCACCTCGATTGGTGACGAAACGTTTGCAACAAAATTGCCAAGCTCAGCGAACAGTTCAACAGCTATCTGTTATTGTTCTCTGGTTGCGTCTCTGTTGTCACTGTGTTCCGTTAGCGATTCTTTTGGCTTGTTCACCCAATAACTTCCATCAGTTTTCATCTATGCAGTTCCCTTTACTTGAGTGGAATAACTGATTCGAGCACAGAAGTGCGGCGACTTGCGTCGCTAGAATAGCCATAAACCATCAAAACAACCATATAAAGTAACAAATAAATAGAATTCAGAAAAAATGAAATCAAGGAAAAGGTAGGTTTAACTAATCAAGATGCAATGAAAATCGACAGCTAGATGCAGCTGACTGAATGATGGTACGCTACTGCCTGCGCCATGCCTCATATGGTCTCCAACCACTGATGTGGACCATCCCGGGGCCGTATCCACCAAGACTGCGGGCCGTAGCCTAAAGCATTACAAGCCTGCTTTGTAATCCGAGTGCGTGGGTTCGGTCCTGCGTAGGGGCCTGGCGACCTTCGCAATATCTTTAGTCCACATGCGACTAGTGATGATTGCGCGGCAGAGAAGCGTTGGTACCGCATATCGACGCACTGCTGATACCTCTTCATCCATGAATGCGGCATGCATCAGCCTGAACAAGTCTTTCAGTCATCTTCTTCGTGTCTTTGTACTATCTCCTGGACTCGCCACCTCACTGTCGTCCAACTTAATGCAACCGCGGCATATAATCCGCTGAAGATTTCAGTCAAAAGGAATACGGAGGACATGACCTAGCTAGAGTAAGCGGTAAAAATTCGCTAAGCACCCGATTGAGGTATCAGGAAAAATGCCCAAAACCAACTGGTCGACTGCAGCATTGCTCACCACATGATCCCATCAGCAATACTCCTTAAGCATCGGTGATCAAACATGGCGAAATGTTAAATGTTTTCGCCACGAACTGGCCAGGTCTCTGATCCATACAGTAAGACCGGCCTTACCGCAACGTTCTACACTCTACCTTTCACTGACTGGCCGATATCCCGCCGTCTTCGTAGACGATTGAGTCTCTGGAAAGTCACTTGGGCCTTGCTGATACGCGAAAAACCTTCAGTGATGTAACCACCAGTGATGGTACATCTACAAAGGTATATGAACTGATCCATCACTTCCAGCGGCTGTCCATTGATAGCTATAACCTGCGGCATATCGACCCAGTAAAGCGACAGTACTTTGCACTTTGAAGGTTCAATGGCATATTGCCGAAGCATGCGCTGCTGGTCTGTGCAGTAGTGCTTGTATATCCATTGCATCAGCTTGAAGAGAGCTATGTCGTCCGCATACTCAAGGTTTATTAGTTGGCTAGGCTAGAGTCTGAACCAACCGAGTCCTTCATGTTCATTTCAATCACAACGTCGAAGGGAAGAAAGGAGAGATAGGGCAACCCTGGTGACCCCACCTGTCTTTGGGGTCTTAGGAGATAGATTCCCGTAAACCATTACTCGGTTTCTATTTTCACCGTAAAGAGGTTTCAGTATGGCAAGTAGTTTCCAAGGCATGCCCTTCACGGATTAGCAGTGCCACACGCTGGCTCGATCAGCAAAATCAAAGACGGCCTTCAGGTCGCGGAAAACCACCATAGTTGGTCGTCTGTAACTGAGTCTCTTCTCTAACGCCTGGCGAAGAGTAAATATGTCGTCGATACCACCACGACCAAGACGGACGCCACCCTAGCTTTCGATGATTCGGCTCTCAAGTGGACCTGTACGTTGCCTAAATTTGATACCCCTGAGAAGTTTGGACATAAGAAGAAGGAGCTGAAAGCTACTAGTTTTCGCACAAAGTACCTTGACACTTCTTGAAAGCGCCGGTCATCAGGCTGAAGGCACCTCTTCACTGTCTCATTTGTGCTATCTAGAGCAGAAGGTGCAGTTAAAACTGAGTCATCTCCATTTTTCTACAATGGTGAACGAAGATCGTCGGGCCCAGGAGCTTTGTTTCGTTGCATCACTGCGAGCTCCTTTAGGATCTCCATTAAAGTAAGGAGTTTGTCATCAACTTTGGTTCAGATATTTCAGCAAATGGCAGTGTCGCAGCTTGCTCTTCACAAGGCTTCGCCAACAGGTTACTCGATGAGGCTTAGAATGGATCAGCTCTCCATCTTTCTCAGCTATTAATTCACTAACTGATGACTTTCTCAAACCTGTGTTCCGGATGAACTGGAATAGCTCTCGTTGTTCCTAATAGCTGTGACTTTCTCTATCTCACGGATTCTTGCCACTGCCCCCGACGTTCCCGGGGAATTCAAGGACTTACCGGTCGTCGTTCCATGACATTACAGGCAGGCTGGAACCCTGTACCCATTCGTACCGTTTGCCTGCTTCGATCAAAATGATAGATACCTCGGAGATCCACTCACAGTTACGTCTCAAGTCGGGTGCACGACATACGTCAAAGGCGTTCTTCATGTCACTTTTGAGACGATCCCAGTCATCGTTCGGCTCACCATTCATCACTGACGATTAGTGAGCCAGTTCGTTATGATATTGTTGAACTGCAGACTTCGAGTTCAAGTTGCAAGTAAGAAGGTAAGAAGTTATGCGTTTCTTTGAAGCTAGAGGAGTGAGCACTAGTCGTGCACGCACTAGGCAAGTGCTCCAATTTGACCGACAGTTTTGGACTGATGTGCACCAGTTATAACTAATGGCTATGTGGTCCGTTTGGATCCAAATCATCGAGGAATTCGGTGTGCGCCAAGTGACGCGACGCGAACATAGGTACTGAAGACTAGTGCTGCTAACATAAAGATTGTAGTCTTCTCACAGTTGCAGGAATCCATCACCATTGTATGTTCGGCCACCTCTCAAGTGCTGTTCATCACCACCAACAATCACGATGGCGGTATTCTTCGCCATGCAAAGAAGATGACAGCTGTCGATGGAAATCGTTTTTGATACCCTCCGAGCTGCAATCAGTGTGGGCATCAACGGAGTCGATGATAAAGCACCTCGTCTTCGGATGGTGCTCATTAACTCCATTAGAGGTTAGAAGTCGAACCGCACACATGCAGATGTTCACCAGCATCCAATCGAGTATATTGTCTTCACCAATTTTACTGAGTGCATTACCAACACCGTATATACCTTGAGCCAGATACTCGAAGATTGTAGCAATCGCCGTAAGCTTCAGAACTAGGGAGTAGAAGATTCGTCACAACGCTGTTCTCTTGTATGTGTGTTTCGCAGACAGAGCGCACATCAATACCAGGAGAGCGAAGAGTGAGTGCTGCCTGTTGACCGATCTGACTCAAGATTGGACGTTAAAAGAACCAGTGTGCAATGAGACTCGTAGTTTCATGAACGAGTTGCAACAGAAGTGAGGTCAGCGGCTGATTCTTGCTCAATAGACGGGGAAACAAAACATTAAGAGAGGCAAATAAGAAGGGAGTATCCTCGACGTGGTCGAGAGGGCGACTGATACTATCCGGTTCTTCATTTTGACGCAGGGGTTTTGTTCGTGGTGCCCTATTCCTAAGCTTTGACTCAATAATCTGACCCACAAAGCACTGGTATAATACTAACTCAGGAGTGTGAGTTCGTAGACCGATTAGGATCTGCTTGAGGCTTGTAGCACACAGCCTTTGAAGAGTTAAAACGAGTTGCATGTTTTTTTACCGTAGTATGCTACGCATTGGCGATCACATCGGGCCGCAGGTTGGGGTTGGCGGGTTTACACCAAATCGACCCCGGGGCTTCCTAGCGCGAGTCTAGCAGTAACAAGCCATGGAGTACCGAGTGGTATCCTCTCATCGTCAGCTGCAATGCGTAGTGCTCGTGCTCTACTCCAATCGAGTTGTGTGCTTGTAACTCGTGGCCTTGTTGTTTCTCAGGACTAGTTTTTAAAATGGTGGGCCATCGACCTCTCCCAATTTCCGAGCAGGATTGTGCGACTGAATTAGTCCGATCTTTTACCACTGATTTATCTCGTATGAGTGACCCCGAAAGCACTTAGAAAGTGCCACCAAGCGTTGCTGGATGAGTCACGAAGGTTTGCAAACCTTCACGCCACATTAAGCTCCAATTTCGTCGCGATGGGTTTCAAAGAAGAAGAAGAAATAAAGATGAGTTTCACCTATTCATCACTGAATGCCTGGCGTGACTTGTCTCAGAACTCACTATCACTACTTCCGTATTTATTCCTCGCAAGCATACTTTCTCTAAGTGGCTACGGTCCGTCACTCTACCTT